CTTGTGTTACTATGAAACGAGACATTTACAGCATAAAAATGACAATTTCTGTCGAATTTGTATCCAGGGGAAATCTGAAAGACCAGACTAAACAAAGAGCTTCCCTAAAGACAGTACCCGCAATCGACTTCCACAGGTTGCAGGGCTCAGAATCATTAGATGTGCTAAGCGGATGCCGGCGCAGTTTGACGGCGGGGGGGGGCATTTTGCACTTTCGTTGCTTCACTAGTTCTGGTTTACAAGTCTCACTCTGGTGAAACCTGTGAACTCTTGTGAAGCTGGAGCAAGCTCGTCAAGCCATCATGGTAAAACCTGTCAACTCGAGAAGAGGCTGTCTAGATGGGTCGACACGTCGATGGGAAGTCGTTAAAGTGCAAAATGCTCCCCGTCGCCAAACAGCGCCGCGGAAGCCCATTGCGTACGCGGAGTTTTTTTCCCGTCAGCGGGCGCCTGCAGAGTTACGCCATTTTCGCACCGCGACGTGTAGCGCTGAATATAAACTAATGGCATGAATATATTCTTCATCGGAATATCGTCTCCCCCCCTGTCCACTGCTTCCAAGAGTGTTCTCCTTCTTTCCATTCTTGTTGCGCTCAACTCGCAGTCGCGAAGTTTTCGAGTCACTTTAAGGAAGCGCCCGCAATAAGTCAAGGTGCAGAAACCCTCTAGTATTCAAGATGGCAGAGTCCGCAATCACTATAGGATGTCCCTTTCCTGGGCCCCGAAGCGCCTGATAAAGGAAGCGGGCTCAGCTACAATAAGCCAGCTCCTCGTTAGCTTGCTAGTTCCTCCTCGGTCGATTTTTCGTTATCGTCTCGTTGGCGATGATAAGATCTTCAGAGGAAAAGATCTCATGCTCAGGCTGCGTTCATACTTTGCGACACGTCCATCAGTGACCATTAGCACCCACCAGCGATGACGCATCCGGCAGTGTCAGCGACTAGGAGAGTATAGATGTCGATTCAGCATCTACCAGCGTGCCGCAGCGTCTACCAGCGTTCAAGAGTTCCGAGGGCTAGGGTATATAGGTATGAATCTAGCGTCTGCCAGCATGCACCAGCGTCCATCAGGTTCTGGGAGGGGAGAGTATGGCGCGATAGGAGGGTAGCAGACAGCTGGTAGAGTATGGGGAGAGAGAAGGGTGGTAAAGAGTATGGGATGGCAGAGAGATGGCGCAAAAAGGGAATTGGCCAGCGCGTCTGTTACCCTCCTATCGTGGCGCATATTCTCCTCTCCCGGACGATGGTGCACGCGTGCAGACGGTGATAGACGCTAGATCGATACCTATATTTCCCTAGCCTCGAGGCGCTGGTGGACGCTGATCTAATATCTATACTTTCGCTGCCGGCTTGACAGACGACGTGGTGGACGCCGTCGCAAAGTATGAACGCAGTAGCAGAGAAGCTGAAGTAGTCTGCGAGAGCGGCGTTGATTCAGAAAACCTCGCCAATGTCCAGTAGTCCCGTTCATGTTCAACCCCTGCGTGGAATCTTATTTGGGGCCGTTCTCGACGGTTTCTTACGATTTTTCGTCTCCAGCGTCCTTGAGATCGGAACCTGCAGAAGTCAAACACAGGCGCTGTCTTCGAGCGTAGTTCGTCAGTTATCGGCCGGTAAGCTGACACAACGCTTCTCTGGTAGGCTCGCAACAAAATTAGAGGCTCCAAGAAAATAATAAAATTAAATAAATGAGTCAGCAGATAAATCAAAAAAAGAAGTAAATCCTAAAAACTTACGCCTGCATCGATTTGACGTAGACTTCTATCTTTAGTCAAGACACGGCGAATAGTGTATTGACCATCGGCGTCCTGTAATGTTGTAATTCTGAATCCAGTAACATAGATGACTGGCAATATTCAAACACACTTTTGAAAGCTGTAGCACTTCGAAATCCTTGATGTACCGGTCAGTGAACTGAGACCCATTTTTCATGGCGAAAGTCCAGCTAACAGTAATGGAGAATGAACCTTCGAATTTGATTGAAACATGAACATCACTGTCCTTAAAATTACCCATAAAGAGTTCCATTCAGAGTAATTTATTCGGCAGAACAGTAGACACGCACGCGGAAAAAAGATGTACACTTTCACATTGGACATTTTTCGGACCAAGTTGGACACTTTTCAGAATAAGTTGGACACTTTTTGGGTCGATTTGGACATTGCCCATATCTGACAGCTGGGTGCTTCGTCCAGGCACTGCCCTTGAGCGCCTTGTTATGCTCAAAGAGCTGCTTGACGATCTAATTAATCGCAATTGTCGTGTGTCCAGGAAAGCTGTGGATTCTCCATCAACGAGATCACCCATGGCGATCGGTGGCTTTACATGGTTGTGGGGATCATAACAGACGGCAAGTGATACCCTCAAAAACTTGGAATCTCTGGGACAATGTGGTCCACTTCAGAAACCAAATGCATATTTTTCGTGGAAATGTCGTCTCTTATGAGTCTCCGTCCGCATTGCCAAGCCTGCTTCTAACGAGGGCGTAGACTCTATGAGGTGGGCGGAGGTTCGTCGCAGGGAGCGGGGCTATTGGACACTGCCGAAAAAGGAAACCTCGAGAGGTCATGTTTTTGCCTAAAAAGCAAAAAGTCCCTTACGTGCCTAGTTGTCCAGAATATTATTCACATCGTACTATGCTTTCTACAGCCCGGCGGAACGATATGTCGCGACAGGTGAGGGGACCCACTGCTCCCATAGACATCCTGCGGCGCAGACCAAGTTGCCGCGGGGCAAGTCCCGCTTCAGAGAGCGGCGAATGGACACTCAACTGCCAGCTGGATAATGTCCAATTTGACTTGGAAAGTCATTAGATTGAAAATTTTCCGCTCTTAGATGAAAATGGTTTGTGACATACTCTTCTTGTAGGATCCCTGGTCACTTGACCTTTGGGACCTACTCCACGCTTTCCTGTTTCTAAAGTTTTCCAAAACGTTCTTGGACCAGCTCCAGCGCCTGTATAACACTCGACAGAAACATGATACACGCCTGAAATACGTCAACATCTAGTTCTATTCGGCGGATGGTTTCGAATTACTAAGCCTTGGCACATTTTTAGATTTTTTTTCAGCAAAGTCTCCGGATACCATTAACATTGAGGGGGGGGGCATGTACATGAGAGATCGATGGGGGAAGGGAATTCTCACGAGAAAACTTCAAAGATCAGCTCTGATGTGTTCGAATAGTACTGATCTGCCAGCGAAAATGATAAAATGTCAAACCAACGTCCCTGCAGTCAAGCTATTCTTACTCCGATTTTCTTCCAGCCCGAGCGACCTGCTCAAGCATACGAAAGAGAGAGAAAGAGTGTATCCAAAAGAAGCAGACCATAGTTCGGCTAGAGAATATGCAAAAGACTGAGGGCCCCACTGCGTGGTATGGCCTAATGAAAAGGATGAGTCTAGCTCACAGGGGCGAAGCTAGCTCAAAGTCACCAGACCCTGGCGCCTCCATCAAGTACTTTCGATCGTGACGCTTTCAACGAGTAAGTGAAGGTGGGAACAGGCTCTGCGACAGTGGACCCTGCCACATCGTGCAACGGAGGGCTACTGCAGTCCAAATACTCGCGAACGCTACCACTAGGTGCAAAAAAAAGGATAAAGCCTTACGATCTTCGCCAAGGTCTTCATACTTGACCTGTGTTTCACGCGGACCGGCCATCTTTATCTTACAGTCAGATTCGATGTTCTGTTGGGTGCATACATACACCTAAATGATGCCGTTTCTGTTGTGTTTCCTCACCTTCAGTCACAGCGCAATTTGAAGCCTCAATTGAGCGAACCAAAAAAATACGCCATGACTGGCCATGTATAGAAATATCGAAATTATCAGATTTCCATATATTTCATGTGACTGTAGTGGTACACTCTTTGCGACTGCGGACCTGGCCGCCAAATGCACGCAGGCGCTACATTACACCTGATCTCTTTAAGGCTGCGTTCATACTTTGCGATAGCGTCTACCAGCGTCCACCAGAGTCTCGAGGGCCTGGGAAGTATAGGTATCGATCTAGCTTCTGCCAACGTGCACCAGCGTCCGGGAGGGGATAGTATGGCGAGCGGAGGGGAGGGGGGGGGGAAGCAGACAGCTGGTTGTGGTGCTCTCTACCACTCTCCTATCTCCTCGTACCCTACCAGTTGTCCGCTACCCTCCTATAACGCCATACTCTCCTCTCCCGGACGCTGGTAGACGCTGGTGCACGCTGGCACACGCTGGTAGACGCTAGATCGATACCTATACTTCCCAGACCCTCGAGATGCTGGTGGACGCTGGTTGACGCTGGGAGAGCTGGTGCACGATAGTAGACGCTGGACGCTAGACCCATACTTTCGCAGTCGCTGACGCTAAGAGACGCTCGAAACGCGGAGGTGGAGGAGAGGAAGGCGAGGGGGGGGGAGGGGGAGATAGCATGGAATCCAGAGTTAAGTGGGTTGGATCTGGCATTGAGAGAAATTTTTCGGAGCCGCGAGGAGAATTTTACAGTATTTATTCCTCCTGTCTGACGCGCGCTGCACTCCCCTTTTCTAGTTGATGACACTGCAAAAGCTGCTAAGACGGCTATATCTGACAGCTGACTGAGAAGAAGCTCTCTCTCACTCCTCGATATAGTCTTTAGTGCAAAAGAACTTTTTTCTTCCCAAATTGGAAAATTGAAAGATTTTGGCAGTATGGGAGGATGGGATAGGGATTTCGCTAGAGAGATTTTGGAGAGGGGTCGTATTGGAAGAGGTTTTCCCATGCTTGAAAGGAATCCCACCGTCACCGCTACTTCACCCACCCTCATGTTGCACCCTGCGCAGGACGAGAACCTGCGCAAAATCTCTATTCACGCAAATCATCTAATACTGGTAATATAGCTTCCAATGATGTGAGTTACATTAAGATTATCTACACAAGTGAAACACATTGTTATTAGAAATCGTGAACGTTTTAGGGTGCTCGTTAGCCTTAAGTAAAGAGTGCTCGTTAGCCTTAAGTAAAGTAGGGAGCAGAAAAAGCCATTGCAAACACTCAAGATGGACCTCGATTCATTTAGGTCTACGGACAACTTGAATTTAATCCCTTTGAATGCGTCGAACATCTCTTTTTCTCTGCACCCTCTCGTCCTTGTTGCATTCTGTGCTCATTGTGACCTCTCATATTCCACTTTTTGACACATGAAGTGGCTCACCCACCGGAGTCCCCTCCCCTTGAAAAATCCCACTCCCTGGCTCGCCATACGTTTTTGGCACGTTTCGATGCTTTGGCAGCCGCTGCCCTCTATCCGTCTGCGTCACAGGGTTTCGTAACAGGACCGCCACCAAAAGTTCAAGATGTCACGTAACCGTTCATTTACAGAATTGAACGAGCGCGCGATCGCGATAATAAGAGACGCAGAGACGCTCACACACAGTCGCACAAGCAACGAATGCTCATAGATGGTACGAATGCTCATAGATAGGTAGAGCTGAAGAAGATGAGATCTGAGTTGAGAATATTTGAAAGACTCATAATTATTTAAGAAAAGGGATACTTACAGCGCAGTTCAGCGACGGGGATGGGACAAGTAGCAGAAGTGCAAAATGCCCTCCCCCTCTGCCTGTCGCCGAATTGCGCTCTGTCTGTCAGGTAATGATGAAGCACATATCGGAATGACTTCAAGGTTCTTACTCACTTTGCAACCTTTGTCTATGCCGGGGAGTCTGTCCAGAGGTATCGGCTTGAAATGAATGTAGACCTCATATGGATTGAGAGGATCTGGTCTCAAATCAGTTGGTGCCTCCTCCGGTACTGAAAAACATTAGGTATACGAAAAAAAATTAGGTGCTACAATAATGTCTTTTGACGACGATTCGCTCAGAGTTGAAAACTAGGTTGAACAAAGGTCATAACCTTGGTCAGAAAAAAAGAAAAAAAGTTTAGTAAGAATAGTTGGAAATATGGGGCAGTTCGGCGACGGAAGGGGGCATTTTGCACTTTTGCTACTTCCCATCGAAGTGTCGACCCACCTAGACAGCCTTACCTCGAGTTGACAGGTTTCACCATGATGGCCGACGAGCTTGCTCCAGCTTCACAAGAGTTCACAGGTTTCACCAGAGTGAGACTTGTAAACCGGAACTAGTGTAAGCAACGAAATGCGAAATGCTACCCATCCCCCCCCCTTTCGCCGAACTGCGCCTGAAACGTATTCAAGCCACAAATTTTCATTTCTATTTTCATGCTTTAACTTGTTCGATTCGCATTACTAGAGAAGTTTTCGCCGTAGAATACAGCCGATAAAAAGAAGATAATTCTCGTCTGCGTGCTGCGACTAACTATCATCGCATAGTCCGCCAGGAATGTTCTGGGAGTTCTCACAGAACTTCCTCGTTGTCCAAGTAGTTCAGTGAGTGATCTCCTCTTCCCTTATTCGCCCACTGCCAGTTTGTTTTTTGGGACTGAATCAAAGGCGCAGTGGGCACGATTGGGCTGTGGTGGGCGATTTACTGCCAAAGTCGTTGATGGAAGGGCGAGGGGGGGGGGGGGGGGGGGCCTGCCAAACGCCCTGTCACAGCCGTTTCACCAAATGACCTTGGCACTAACTCACAGTGTCCACAGCCATCGAGTGCAATCGTGAAATTGGGTTTCGGTGCCGAGTTAGCCGTAGCATCCCCATGGGGGCGATACCATCCACTATTCTCACTATTTACTCTTCATTGTTCTGACTACCACACTTCTACAAGTTCAGATTCAAATTTCGAGTGGATTAAGAATTTTATACCACACACATGGTCTGGCCCTCTGAACACGAACATGGGAAATGTGGCGAGCTGCTGCACTCAAGCCCTGGTGAAGCTGTGTGGATTAGCCGGCGGAATCCACTTCTCAGCAACAATCTCGCGCAAAAACTGTCAGCGTTCATCCAACTGTAAGCGTGCAATACGAACTAGAGGTTTATGTGTTCAGGATAATACGGTATGCACAGTATCCACTTTCTGGCTTTGGTGTCGGTTTTGAGTGTGAGTGAATCACCATCAGCGTCACGCGCCGTTATGGAAATCCAAAGCGAGGGGGGGGGGGGTAGCGTCGTATTTGGTCCGGGAAAGAGTTTCCTTTATCTTCCTGTTTCGCGAGTGCTTCTCAGCTATTCACATCGTTCGAAAAATTCCAGGTGGGAGGAGGATCGTTCGCCTTCGAGAGAAATTTACCGTGTTGCGAAAAATTCCCTCTGATTGTTGACTTTTCTCGGTTATTCCTATTTCACTGTTCCCATGTACTCCCCTCCCCCGCTTAGGAGGCTCGGGAAATTAGAGAATGGGGAAGGGAAGGGGTCGTAGCAGAGGAAGGAAGTGGGGGATCGCATTTCCCGAGACCTTCCCCAAAGGCAGGACATATGTATCCTGGAGTGCACTGCGGAATTTGTATCGTCCTTCCCCTGCCCGCGACTGCGATCCAAATTGGTGCTGCTGATGAGAAAGCTAGCAAGACAATCGAGTGTAGCAGTCATAGGCGCGATAAGACAATGTTCCGCTCAAATGGTCTTATTTACAGAACTTTTCACGTCACGACAAAGTTGGAGCTCGCAAAGGATCCTTTGACGAACTTCTATTGTCGGTTCCAGATTCGGAAAGCAAATGAAAAAGGTGACAGATCAAAGGGTGCTCGAGAAAAAAATACAAGAAAATGCACAAATAGCGCGAAAGGGAGTGTTCCTATGGCCAAAATGAAAATTCATGAAATCAGTCGGAAAGTTTTAGAACGGCCCTATGACGGATGGAAACCAACCTAACTCTGGCAATACTATAGTTGTTTCGTTGCTAAGAGGTCCAGAATACTCTCCAACTTTCGCTCTTACGGCAACAAAATATTCCTCGGGTCTATGAGTGACCTTCCATGTCTGTAAGTATTACTTTATTGTCTGTCTTAGCTTGGACGAAAGTTCCTGCGCACATTGGACAAATTATTCAAGTGAAAGTTGAAACTTTTTTCAAATAATCCTATTACTGATTACTGGGCAAAATAATCGCCCCTCCCCTCCACTTCCTCCCGCCTCCAGTTTTTCCGCTGCTAAGGCAGCGTTCACAATTCGCGATGACCCGCGTCGACGCACTACCATTGCAATGGTGCTCCATTGCTACAGACGGATATCGATCGGCGGAGGCCGCTTAATTCGAGAGTGTAGGAGAACAAGAGGGCGCAGGTGTTGCCTAATCACACAGGCCGAGAGAGTTCTATTATCCTATTTTCTCCCAAGACACAGGCGATCGGTACCCATCTACACCGTCCCCACCGAGCGATGCAATAGTAGCGCTTGTACGAGCGTCAGAACAAAGTCAGCACGCTGCCTACGACAGAACTTCCACACCTTGTCTGGCTCGTATTGTTTTGCAAACAGACATGATAGCGCCTCGCTAGGTAACTTAAGGGTCAGGGCAAAGCCCCTTCTATGTCGAATTATGATCTTAGAACACGTTCATACTTTGCGGTAGCGTCCACCAGCGACCATCAACGTTTCGAGTGCCCGTCAGCGCTAGCGACTGAAAAATTATAGAAATCGACCTGGCGATGGCACGGTGCGCCTACACATGCCACAGTTTCACGACGCCCAACCCAACTGTCTCCTTCCTCCCACTTCCCCATACTTTGTGCTCCTGGTCGCGAGTGGACGCTGTTGAACGCTAGATCGACATCCGTACCTTCCTAGTCCAACAAGACGCTGATCGTCGCCGGCGGACGATTTTGGACG